TGTCCACTCATATTTAAGAGTGAGGAATGAAAAGGCCAATTCCTGGAATTTCACAGTAGACTGATTTGGTGGGAACTGACCTTTCTACTGAGGAACCCCAAACAGCAGTAGTTGGAGGTCTTTTCTAGGATGTCTTTTGCTTTTTCCAAAAAAGGGGACTTTGAAATCCAACCTGTGGGTAGAGGTAGGGTTCTTGGGAACGGGGCTGGTTGCCAGTGCTCTTGGAATAGGGGAAGTACTCGAAGGCCAGGGGTTCTACTACTGCTGCTCCTGTGCAGACAGACTTGTCTAAAGTCTTGCGATCAGACTTCCCTTCAACACTCTGTGCCGTTCATTTTCAGACCTATGTCTCATTCTCAGCGTCTGCAGTACCTCTTGCTTCAGTGTCCCAAACCTCTTACTGTTTCTTTCAAAGATAGGGGTGGGGAAGGTGGACTTAGTAGGAAACACTGGAGTCTTTGGTAGCAGCTTAGGAACAAAGTAATGGAGTCACAGGGAGAGGTGATCGCAGAAGCAATGAAGGGATGTATATGGGGAAAAAACCCAAGCCATTGTCAGATGTCTCCAGGCTTTTTGGGAGACTGGTGACTTGGTGGTAGCAAAGGCCAGGGGATTTTTGCTTGGGGAAATTACAAGCTGTAGAAAAATTGAGTGTGGAATGCGAGGAAAGAATTTCTAGGTTAAAGTGTGCTGATGGAAATTAAAAATACTTCCTGAGGACACACTTTCTAGATCTGTACTGATTTAACACATCAGATTTTGTAGCATTGGAAGTTTTCATCCTTCGGGTTTTTTTTTTCACTCTTTATTTTAGATTTATGGCTAGCCTTTCATTTGTACTGCTGATAAAGAAATTGGATAGTCCTGATAAATAATTTTGGGTTATAATAAATACCATTTACATACCATAGTAACTGTCCCACAGTAAGCACTTAATAAATGTTAGTTGTTACTGCAGTTTTTTAGTTTAATGAGCTTTTTTGTTGAATTTCATTAACCACTCTTGTAAATATTACCATTCCCATTCTATAGCAGTGGACACTGCAGTTCAGAACATTGGGACTTGGTCAAGGCCAACAGAAGGCTCTGATAGGGAAGTGGCTACATTCACTCAGAACACTTTTATCATGGTTGGAGTGGGAGGTTTAGCGGCACTGTTGGTATTGGCCGGTGAGATAGCAAGCACAGCAGTATTGTATCCGGACAATGCTACATGTTTGTTTTCCAAAAGTGTAGTGAATAGATAGGGTTGCTTGTTTTGGCATTTTGTGGTGGTTATTAGAAAAATAAAGTGCCTGAAAGGAGACAATAGAGTAGAGTTTAAAAATAATCTGGTCTAGGAATTTGTACTGATTGCTTCTGGTTAAATGATGATGAAAAAGTAAGTAATAACAGAGTTTGGAAAAGTTAATGGGAGAAAGATGAAGAAACTTACTGTAAATGTGGCACCGACTTCCTTCTGTGAGCTTGTAAACAGATCAGTGTTAATAAAGGTCAGTTGCTAGGAATAACTCTGTAACTTAAGTGACAGAAGGGAGATCTGTCGGATTTCCTAGGTGGACCGTAAATAACAAGGTGCAGTCCAACAATAGAAACAAAAGGAGAGAATGAGGGAGACTCCCCAGGGGAAAAGCTACCCTTTACATCACTCTGTTAAAGAATAACCTCGGTGCACTTACTGCATCCAGCTACCATGCACCTTCTGCTCAGCCTTGGAAAATAAAATAGGTGTCCCTTTCTCCCTATTGCCGCGGTGATTTTCCCAGTGCTGTTAGACTGGGAGGGCTTGTTAGCAAACTGCGCAGTAGTGAGACAGTAAGAGACTCCATGAGCTACTGAGAGGCTTGTAGGAGTCTTTATGAGAAATTTTTGATAAACTTAGAATTTTCTAATATTTCATTTGTATCAAGAGAGTATTTTTCTTCTTATGAAGGTTTCACAGCATATGGATTAGACAACTGATCCTGAACCAAATAGTACCTGAGTGCCCATTTTGTTGTTATTTTATTAAATAAAAGCAAAAACATTTTTCTTATTACAGCACAAGTGTGCATTCATCTGAAGTTTTTAAAATGCAGGTAAACAAAACAAAAAAAATGCAGGTAAGCAAAACAAAGAAAATGAAAACCACCCATAATTCAATTTATTAGAAATAATCTCTCTTCAAATTTCATTTTGAGTTGAAAAAATTCTGATCATAACAATCAAAAGTAAATGCCAAGGTTTCTTCGAAAAGGGGAAATTCTCTAGGGTTTTGAGGTTTTAGAGATACCAGAGACGTATTAAGATGTATTGTGTGAGCAAACCACAGTCATTTCAAAATAGCTTTCGCCATTTGTAAACATGTATACATTAATTCACATGATTCCATTTGACCTTAGACTCTTTAATGCCACTATGTTAAATCTTTTCACAGTCTTTGGTTATGTGCCTGAAGATAGTCCATTATTCACTTTGAAGAATAGTCTCATTTCTTTCCATTCTGAAATAAATGATACTTGTTCCATAGTTGTGTGTAACTTTGAAAAGGAAAAGTAAAGCTGTGGGAAGGGCTCTCTTGTGCTGAGATTCTACCTGAGAAAGCAGTGCTCGTGCTCTGAATATGAATGATAGGATGGCCCCCAGAGATTTGGGTTGATAGACCTTTTGGGTTTGGGCAAGCCCTCATTCCTTTCTGCCTTCTGCTTTCATATTCTCTGTAACTTCTCAATTTAGATCCTGAGAAATCTCTAAAAGCTTTTCTTCTCTACTGTTTCAGTTTTTCACGGGCCCTATTTGGCAAGTGAAGTCCTCTCTAGAGATTTCTCACCAAAAACAATTGTGTTGGAAATGTCATAAATTGTTCATGCCCATGGGTCATGCATATACATTCTTTGGCTACTCCATTTGCTATAAGGTGCCTTACATCCCCATGACTCTGTTTTTATTTTTAATATAAATATATTTGATACCTTGTGTTTGATGAACACTGAATGGCAGTGAGTGGCTTCAAGGTATTATCTGAATAGTGCTCCTGGGACTCTCTGGGGTGAAATACTGACTCATAACAAGTGCACTCCAGACAGTCACGTCTGTTTCCAGCTTCAGGTGACGGGCTTTCCTCCTTTGTTTCCACAGCACCATCTACTTACATTTCTGAGAGGATATTGCTCAATATTTTGTGCATCATTTGCAGAAGATTAAATTCCTTGAAAGCAGGGTCTAGCACATATAAATACTTGTTGAATAAATGGAGGAGAAAAGAATAGAATAGATGAAATCTGACAGAGTTGAAGTTAGCTCTGTGAGGTGCCTACTTATATCAGTTAAGAGCTTGAAGTCCCAAGCCAACCTGGGCTCCCGTGTTAGCGCCCTCACTTCTTAGCTGTGTGTTCTTAGACAATTGTGTGTGGCATTTGTGCATCTCACTTTTGTCTTTTCAACTATGGGGATAATTAAAGTACTTAACTCGTAAAGATCAAATGAGGTTACATATGCAAATTACTTGGAACAGCGGCTATAGATAGTAAATGCTATAAAAGTGTTTGCTACTATTATTCTCCTTTTTTGTTTGTTTACATAGCCTGGGCATGGAATAGAGGGTGCCCACAGGCAATTCACTCTGGAAGTCAGTTTTTCTCCTGGTGTGATGAAGAAGTGCTTTGTCTCCATGTGGGTTCAGGAGCCCTTGGGGAAGGGAAAGGGGGAGAGGAGGTCCTCAGTATATTAAAAACTGAGAACATTTGTACCTTTATTAATCTTTGGGCTGTATAGGCTCCCTTGAGCTAATAAACAGCTTTTCATTTTGGATAAAATCCTATCAATTCAGTACAGTAACAGTGCTACCTTGGGTGGGCTCTGATTAATTTTAATTCAGGGGATAAAAACAATTATTAATTAATGAACAGTTTATCTGGAAGGTAAAATCTTTAACAACAGTGGTCTGTGGGAGAGATAGTAAAAGGATTTTGGATACTAAACAGTGGGGAAGATGGGATTGAAAAAATTTTGAAGACTGGCTATATAGCATTAATTGTTTAATAATTTTTATTCTTTGTATTTTTAAAGTGGTCTATTGGATATTTAATATGATTATATCTAGCTGTTGGCCTATTTTTAGTACCCCCAACATTTATTATGAAGAGTTCTAATATATAGCAAAGCAAAAAATTTTACAGTGAGTGCCCTTATCCCTAACACATAGATTCCACCATTAATGTTTTGCGATACTTAGCTCCACATCTGTACATTCCTCCATCCCTCTATTTTCTAATACATTTTACATTTTTGTATGTGGTTCACTTTGTTTAGATAGGAAAGTCATCATCTGTCTGAGAAAAGTCAATGTTTTGTTCTTAGCCTCTAGAATACTAACAGTGGCATATACATGCAGGAGGCAATATTTTTAAAGAGTTGCAGAATAAGAATTACTCTTACTGGAAGGAGTCTTAAAGACTCAGATTGGGAGGGAAACAATTCAGTTTAATAGATAACCCATCAAAACATTCTTTTTGATATAATATTTTTAGTTTCACTTTGTAAGCTGTGCAGGGTCAGCCCTTGCTGTTTCCAGTAAATGGCAACATTTATGGAGAAGACATGGAATTAAGTTAAATAAAAAGTTTTAAAGAAGAGTTTTGCAGGGTGAAGGTTAATGATAAAATACACAAAAATGCCTAAGATACAAGTTTGTGTCAACTTGACTTACCCTAGACCATATACGGAATCTAACGGCATAGCTTTCCTTTTCACCAGAAGTTCAGAATCCACAATGCTGCTGGCTCTTTGGGAGCCGGCCAGGAACTCCAATGAGCATGAATAGGTCACAGGGCAAAATCTTGATTATGATTCAAAAAAGAAGGCGTAGTCACTTTGTTCCCCTTGAACTAAGGAAACATTCACTAGAAGACTCTGATTCTTTGGGAGGGCAGTTTTTGGTTTCTGTTCGCTGCTCATGCATGTTTACTGGAAATGCAGAAACTGCAGAGTTACTGATGAGCATTTATCCCTTTCACTTTTAGTTCACTTCTTTAACTGAGATGGACATGATATAAACTCCACTGAGTTGAATGATGGCATCCAGTCCTGTGCTTCCCACCGAAGATGAACAGGTTTCCTTGGGCATCGATGATCTCCATATTTCACTGCAAGGTAATTAGGATGGGGTCCCCACCCGTGTCAGCTATGGAAAACTTACCCTCATCTATTCACAAATCAATAAAACCTAGATGTTTTATTGCTATCTCAGCTCTCTAGAAAGTAAAGAATACCTGGAAGGAATTTGGTATCTCAGTTTCTTACTCTGAGTGTATGTATTTTCTTTGAAGTAAGCATTAAGTAGTTATCATAATTTGTTTGGCATTGTTTACACTTGTTTTGCATCTTTGCACATAGCTTTATGTATGTGTATGTGTATGTATATATTATGTATTTATTCAGTCATTCATATTTAAATTTTTTTTCAATTACAGTTTATACTTAATGTTATATTCATTTCAGGTATACAGCATAGTAGTTAGACAATCATATACTTTATAATGTATTCCCCCTGGTATTTTCAGTACCCAGCTGGCACCACACAGAGTTATTACAATATTATTGACTATATTTCCTATGCTGTACTTCATATCCCCGTGACTATTTTGTAACTACCAACCTATACCTCTCAATCCCTTCACCTTTTTCATCCAGTTCCCCAATACCCTTTCCCTCTGCACATTACCTCTTTGAAATGTACATCCTATTTTGTACTAATAGAAAGGAATAGTAGTAATATAAATGAATGGCGATGTTTCAATCATGCTTCTTGTGAAATTTGGCAATATTTGTTTTGTACTTTGAAAATGCATTAGTTACTAGGCTTTCCACCTTTGCTGATAAACCAAATCTTGGAGGTGAGTAGTTGGCTAGTGTAGAAGAAATAAGGCTATGGCAAGTTTTTACAAACATTTATATAACTATTTTAAAGTAATTTTAAGGTTGTGAACAGTATTATGCAACATTCTTAGAATGTTACTTAGAAGTCAAATTTTGAGCCATTTATTATTTTTATTTTTTATTTTACTTATTAATTTTTAACAGGTATAATTGACTTGCAGCATTGTATTAGTTTTAGGTGTACAACATAATGATTTGATATTTGTCTATTTTATGAACTGGTCACTACAATAAGTCTAGTTCTATACATATTTACATACATATACACACATACATATTTACAGAATTTTTTTCTTGTGATGAGAACTTTTAAGATATATTCTCTTAGGAACTTTAAATGTGCAATAAAGTATTATTAATTATAGTTGTCATTTTGGGCATTACATTTATTTGTAACATTTATGATAAGATCCCAAAATGACTTTCTGATATTTTCTTTTTCATTAAAAATGTGTTTTGAGTGATTAGATTCTTGAGTTTGGGGTCAATAGCTATTGCAATAAACTCTATCTGTGTGTATCAGACTTTTAAAAACAATGATCATGTAATTTGTATAGACTGAGAAACATGTAATGTGCCGGGAGGTGGTACACATTTAGAATAGAACCTTCATGGTTGAGAGGAAAAAATTATAAACCAGAAGTCTGGTTTTTACCCTTTTTGTTTGTTTTGACATTTCTACTCAGTGGCTTCCCACCACGTGTAGGGTGAGGTCTAGACTCCTTGATGTGGCGCACAGGCTCTTCCTTCTGGTGCTTGCCTTTCTCTCCACCCTCATCTCCCAATGCACCCCACAATCACTGCTCCAGCACCGTGGCTCCCTTACGGCCATACTCCCCCTGCCTGTCTGCTTTTGTTCAGGTTGTCCCCCCTGTAGCCCCCCAGCCTCCTCTTCCCAAAGGGAGAAGTCCTTCTCAGCTGTCCCTTCTTGTCCCTTATCCCTCCCAGTGTCAGCCAGGCTCAGCCTTCTGAGCCTTCCTCTTTCTTTGGCTGAGATTTGCAGTGCCTCCTCTGTTCTCCCTCGGTCCTTATTTTAAACACTTACAGTGTTGTAGTTAACGTTTGCGCCCCCACTGCAGGGTGCGCTCCCAGACTTTTACGTGCATACTCCAACACTCTTACGTGTATTATCTCATTTGATCCTCACAATGTGATTGTGTTTTTATCTGCAAGGCACAGAAAAGGATGTCATCGCTCAGGAAGATGGAATACTTTCCCAGAGTCACACAGCTAGTGAGCAGCAGAGCTGGGTTTTGACTTGGAGGGTAGTTTTCTTTCCGCTGCACCACCCCCTCTCGGCTGCCCTCCACCTGCGCCCACCCCGACTCATTTCAAAGAACGATTTGAAAGAGGGAATTTCACTAACAACTTTCTCTGGAAAATCCACTTAAATTTTAGCCCTATCCCAGTGAATCCATATTAAACTTCTATAGTCAGAGTATAGATAGACATGTTCAAGTAACATTAACGATCTCTGGTTCACAAGTAGCTCAAGATAATTTAGCAAATTACTGAAAATGAGTGGTTTGTTATACTGTGTTTTGAATTATACAGAGTTATACAGTCTGCTTTACAATAGGAGATGAGTATGGGATGTTTGCAATGGGAATGTGATAGACATTCACTACTGGTGTGAAGGCTTTTCCTTCATGACATATTTCAGGGTCATGGTGCTGGGTGCATTACTGTACTGGGGAGAGGTGGGAAGTTAATGCTGTAGTGTGGTGAGGTCGACCCTGGGCAAGGACCGCTCACATTAACCAGGTGCCCTGTGGGGTATCAATCAAGAAGTTCTCATGAGTATAGAAGAAAAGTTAACAGTAAAATGAATAGATTTCCTGAGTTAAGTTTATATTACCAGCAGGTTTATACTGATTCTTTCAGCCAAGTTGTTGAGAGAGAAAGGGAAAGAGAGAGAAGGAGGAGGAGAAGGAGGAGTGGGGAGAAGGGTGGAGGAGGAGGTGGGGTAGAAAGGAAGGAAGGAACTTGTATGTGTTTCTGAAGATAACTTTGGTTTCATGGCAGGATTACTAACTATTTGGGCAAAAAATGACAGGCAGTATTTTGTACATTTAGCAACTACTGAACTGTGGGATGTTGGCAATAGTCTTATTTACACAATGGAATACTACTTGCACATAAAAAAGAAGGAAATCTTACCTTTTGTGACAGCATGGATGGACCTGGAGAGTATTATGCTAAGTGAAATAAGCCAGTCAGAGAAAGACAGGTCCCATGTGATTTCACTTATATATAGAATCTAATGAACAAAATAAACTAACAAACAAAACAAACACTTAGATACAGGGAACTTAGAAACACTGAGACTGACAGCTGTTAGCAGTGAAGGGGGTATTAGGGGTTGGTAAAAAAGGTGAAGGGATTATGCAAAAAACCCCCCAAACAAATTCTCATAGACACAGACAACAGTATGGTGATCATCAGAGGGAAAAGGGGGTGGGGGAGGTAGAGAAGGTAGAAAGGGGTAAAGTGGTGATGGATGGAAGGAGACTTGACTTGGGGTGGTGAACACACAGTACAATGTACAGATGATGTATTATAGAATGGTTCACCTGAAACCTATACAGTTTTATTAACCAGTGTCACCCCAGTGAATTCAGTAAGAGAAAAACATGTGATTTAGTGCACTCTGTAAGTAGACTTGTATTTCACAAAACCATATGTGCTTAATGATCCTTGGGATAATATGAGAAAAGAGATTTTAGGTAACATGAGAGGCTCAGGATCACTGCTCAAAAGAAAGCTTTTTTTCCCCTCAATTTAGAGTCTTTTTTTAGAGGCAGATAGAGGCCTGTTTAATTTATAATGCCTACTATATTTCAGCCAAAACTTACCTAAGGTGAGGCAATCATGGCCACACCCTGACTTAGAATAATATGCCCTAGAAAATATTAAGATGTATGCATTGAAATGTGGTGATTCATTGTTGATATGCTATGAAAACAGATATCTTATGTGCACAGGACTGACAAGGAATCAGGCCTAAGAAAGAAGGAATTGCTTTGCTGAAATTCATAGAGTGGGACAATAAACAAGTTACTTCATCTTTTTTCTTTTGCTCATCTTCTGTGTGATCTTGAAAAAAATATCTTTTTTTAAAAAAAAGATTTTATTTATTTATTTTTAGAAAGGGGAAGGGAGGGAGAGAGGGAAACATCAATGTGTGGTTGCCTCTCATACGCCTCCTACTGGGGGCCTGGCCAGCAACCCAGGTAAGTATCCTGACTGGGAATCAAACTGGCGACCCTTTGTTTCACAGGCTGGCACTCAATCCACTGAGCCATACCAGTTAAGTCGAAAAAATGTCTTTATGAAGGGATTTATGAGGGCCCTTTTTGTAGGAAGGTATTTGTGTTCTCTTAGTTTAGTGAGGAGGATAGCCATGAAATGGTTGGATTGTTGGAAAAGAAATGGCATTTGTGAATTTAAGCAGATAACTGTAAAAATAAAATTTAGTGCATTTTGTACTACTATGGATAGCTCATATTTTAAATTTTGATATATGAAAGTTCAGGCTATTAAAGTTATAAACAAATGGCTGTCTTTAAAAGTTATTTGCTTTACCAAAATGTCAATTATAGAATTTCTTTAAATATTTCCATTGGATTTCTTACCTGGGAAGATAATAGGTGCTTCCTTTTCTTTTATCCTAAGAAAAATAGTAAATGCATATTTTGTCTGCAGTAACATCTCTCCTAGGCTCTTCAGGTTGGGAACAGTATGTTCAGGGAACAATTCTTTGACATATTGGATTGATATGATTATTAAAATAGTAAGGGAACAAGATGGATAAATATTACAGAATTTTCAAGTTAAAATGTACTTTCTTTGCTGTTCAATTTAATGTGGGACCAAAGTAGGAATCCCTTCACAAGTATTCCTCTGGTTAAGATCCTTAAGGGAATTGAACCCATGAAGTTTGGGGATCTTGCTTTTAGGCAGTAGGTAACTTGTTGGGTCTTGAGAATGAGCGTATAGTACATGGTTACAGGTCAGAGTTGTGCATCAGTGAGATTAATCTTTTTTCGAGGTAAAAGAAGATTTAAAAAGGGCGAGAAAATGGAGTTGGAGAAACCAGTATGAAAGCTTTGCATATATCTGGATGTTGGGCAATAGTTGCCCAGAATGGAGATACAGCAGCGAGTATGAAAGTATCAAACAGATATGAAAACCATTAAGGTGGAAAACCCCGT